ATTACTTGTTTGAAGAAAGAAATTCAATATAATAATAGATTGTGCAATCGTCAATGTCACAAACTACAGTTTGAGTTGTGTTTTTATGCCTTTGCATTTATCACATAATAAAATATAGATGTCATTTTAACTTGAGAATTTGTTTATTTCAAACGTCGTTTCGCTCATCAGCTCATGATCAATTAAGTCAAAATCATCAAATCATACAGAAAGTAATTGATTGTAAATAGAGTGTACCATCTAAGAATTGATTATAATGACTCATCAAGTAACTATGTACACATCAATTATTAGTCACATATCTACTAATGTTAGTCTCTTCTTTCTTTTCTCCAAATTCTCAATAATTTGTTGAAGAATTAGTAGCTTATTCGAATTGAGTTTTTCAAAATATTCAAAAATGACTGATATATAATATAATTATTTGTACAGTTAATATTTTGTTTTAGTAGGACCTTCGTTTCGCATGAAAAAAATTTTTTTGAGTTGTGTATCATTCCATAGAAAAAAAAACGATTCTCTACATGGTTATGTGTATTTAAAAAAAAACGAAAAAATATTAATAGTATCTCGAAAACTTTGAAATATCTGAAATTTCACAAGTTTCATTCTGTGATTATCTATAATTTAATAATGATTTTAATTGAAGTTTCTAACAAAAGAGCAATGTCATAACACTATTTCTATTTCTTTTGCTCACTTTATACTATTTCCTTGAAAAAAACAATTTTTTCGGTCGCCTTTTAAAGACGTTTCTTCATTAAAATTAATCGTTCATATATGTTACTCAATGATTTTGGTTTTTAAGATGTAAAATCAAATTGAAAACTTTTTTCAATGGTATAGTCTTATTGAGAATTCAAGTACGATTTACAGTGAACTTAGAAACAAATAAAATATTTTTTCTGTTCTGTTGTTGACACGGACATCACACTAGTGGACTGTATATATAAGTCAACAGAACGGAAAAATGATTTTTTGCTCCTAAGTTCACTGTCAATCGTACTTGATAAGATCGAGGCTTTTCATATTCAGGAAAAACAATTATCGCTCATCTAACCCATAACAATTTGTACAGAATTTTGTGAAATATATTTCACAAGGCAAATATTACAGAGTGCTTAAATAATTTGTTTTTTTTTTTTACATAGGGCATATTCAACTTATGACTTTAAAATTAGAAACAGACAAAAATAGTCTAACTGTTGAATCTTTTATGTAAATCATTGCCAATTATATTTAAGTTCTAATACAATATTATTTTATGCTAAAGATAGAATATAGACTGAAAAAGTTTGGCTTGTAATATTTAACATTTTTCTTTTGTTAACAGAAAAGAAACAAAAACACACAGAAAGAAAAATGTAAAAAAGAAAAAGAGAAAGCGAGTATGATAAAGGTCGCACAAGAACATTCACGAATATTCTACAATGTTGTCGTATGTAATGACCTATCCTATATATATATAGATGTGATTGCATAGATCTAGACAGTTATTTCAACGTTGAATTGCAATTATCAAACTCTCTCAACACTTCTTCTAGAAAACAATGTCATTTTTTCCAATTCGTCGTTATCGTCTTTTTGATGATCCATTTGATCGATTCTTTGGTGATCAATTGGATTTTTTTGATCCATGGTATGATTTTGATACATTTCCATCGGCTCTTTCTATTCAACCAAATACTTTTCGATGGATTAATGAACCATATCGATTAACACATTCATCAAGTGGTGGTGAAACTCGTACACCAACATTACGTTCGCCTCATGCTGAAAAATATCGTGTTCAACTCAATGTAGCAGGTTTTAATCCAGAAACAATTAAAACAAAAGTTGAAGGTCGAAAAGTTATTGTCGAAGCTAAACAAGAAGATCGACAATCTGATGGTGATTATAATATTCGAGAATTAAGAAAAACATATGAACTACCTGAACATGCTGGTAAACAAAACAAAAAAACAATCATTAAATTTGTATTCATTAATATTTTGTGTTTTTTTATTTTTTTATATAGATACAAAACGTTTAGCTTCATATGTAACTCCAAATAATATGCTTATTGTCGAAGTACCTATTGAAAATCCAGAAAAAGAACGTCGTATTGCTCAAAGAAAAAATGATAATCAAAGTTTAGTACAATTTGGTCAATATCGTGATCCTTTATTTGATTATAGTGGATTTTTATTTGGTTCAGATTTTCAACCACATATTGTTGATAAAGGTAATAATCA